ATATATATATATATATATATATATATATATATATGTGTGTGTGTGTGTGTGTGTGTGTGGGCACCATCTTTCATAATGCATTCTTGGTTTTGTTTTGTTGTATTAACATACCATTAAAACATATAACAAAAAACTTGTGAACTAGTTTTCTCCTTCATGACCTGGCAGCCATTTCCTCTTACAAATAAAGAATTGTATTTTCTAACAGTATATCATAAGGAGGATAATTTAGAAAAGAGGCGAAATGTGAACACGAGTGGAAAAGATCGATCCGTAAATGACTAAACATTGAATAATTTCAAAGTTTAATAAGTGATGATAAAGGTTTGGTTTGATTTGCGTTCTACCCTTCATTTGATCTAAACAATACATTAAGAAGTCAAGCTAGTAAGCTACTAGCTAATGTCTTTTAATTAATGCAATTTAATCACTTTGTAAAAAGTAAAATATATTAAAGTAGTTGGATAGTTATTAGTATCATCTCAACGTGTCTCATTAAGTTTGATGTAATAACATATACATAGAGTTGAAAAAGTTGTAAAAAGAGTTTAATCGCTTAGTGTGAGGCTATGAGATTATACTTAACAAATGTTTAAGAAATTTAATAAATGATCCTCTTCAGGTAAGAAAATGTTCAAAGACTATCTGTAATATTGTCCGTTACTACCTCTGTTTTCATCCGTCCTTTAAACCCTGCTGTAATTACAACTGTTGTACTCTTTAATTGCTGCGTAGTTTGTTGTTTTAATGTTTTCATAACTCTGAAATTTTGTGTGCAGATTATGTTTAAGATTTGTATTGAAAAGAGAAAAAGTACGAGCTGAAATCAAATAGCTCGAGTTATATTTTGGTGTTGATTCTCATCCAGAACACGACAATTTCATTAAAAATGACTGAACTTATCATCATATCATGTTTTTGGTTTTTCACTTCTCATCCAAGGAGCTTTTAATAATTCAAACTGAAAAGTGTGAAGCTCCAAGCATTTAAAGTGTATTGAGATGTTTTCATGCAAGTTGAACTTACATGAAAATCACTTTTCCTCCTCTCTCGCCACAGGACTAACAATCTTTTTATAAAGTAGCAAAAAATCTTCTATAAAAAAAAACCCTGGTGAACTAAAGAAGCTGTTTGGATGAGAGGGGAAAAATGTTAGATGACTGAGAATCTACACCAACAATTATCCATCATCTTTACCAGCTTCATCCTTGCCTGGTCGCAAGGATGAAGCTGGGATTCAATCCGGCAACCTTCTCGCTGAGAGTCAACAGCTCTACCAAAGTCTTAGGAATAGTTGTCAGTTCTTGTTTCCAGCCTTTGTGCTGACGTAAAATAACTAGTTGCACCATGTTGCTTCATATTGACGTAATAAAGTTGATCTTTTACTCATATGGGGTTAAAGTAATTTTAAAGGCATTAGTTCAAGGTGTTTGTTCGAGCTACAGGATT